TTTGAGATTCTCTGCTTTCTCATTCACAGAGATGGATGAACACATGTTGGTGGGTGGTGATGCTAAGCACTTATCGAAACGCCCTCGTACATACCTGCAAAACCACTACGATGTCTATCAGATTAGAAGCACACTACTTTTTGAGCCGACTATTAATGGCAAGTTAATAAGTTATTGCGGCAATGATGGCGAATGCGTCGGTACAAAATGTGATTTTAATAGAAAAATATAATAAGCAATTTGTTAGTGTGAATGGTGAAGTTTGTATCTTCTAATTAATATGCACTTAAACTTCAGGTTGTGTTAAATATTAAAAAAAAAAAAAACGAGTAAGTTGCTAATATAAAGTCACTCAAAATTACTCTAAATGTAGCCAGTCAATCTTGCTTTGTCTACGCTTTGCTTTGCTGAATAATCATTGGCTCAATCCATCAATTGATGGCGCATTTTATTTTTTCATTTAACCCAAAATCAACAAGTGTGGCTGTGAGTGTGGGACCACGTGCTTATATCCAGGAAATTAGGTAATACATCAAATGCAACGCGTACTTCATTTGTCATGATGAAAAATTCATCTCGAGCATTTTCTGTGACGATCAATTTGTGATTACGGAGCCTAGATTGAAAATGCTGATGATGCGACGGGCATTGACGTATCTACAGTGCGTCGAGGTATATTACAGCGTCATTCAACAGTTAATGTTTTTAACAAGTCTAATTAGCATTACAGCGTACGTCGTGGTTACGAATGAACAAGATGTAAAATCATTGAGTATCTGACGATTATCATATAGTATACGTATTATTGTAGCTTTCATTTTGACTTGCTTCGGCTACTGCTGTATTTACATAGTAACTTCCAAGTCTATATATTATATGATCCTCACTATTAATTTGCCATCAATTTGTGGCATAACATCCGGCATCTCCAGGTAGTCAATCACACTTTGTGAATCTCAGAAAGCGGTGGCTATTAACTTTCCGACGTTTAGAACACTGTCCGAGTGAAGTCCACTGTTTCGACTGTTCCTTGGTCTTTAGAGTCTACCTGTGGCTCCATGTTTAAACGATTGTCACAAAACTATGAAGGAATGAAGGAGAAACTCTTCTGGATTGCGTTTAAACAGCGTGGAACACAGCTGTGAAGTGATCACACGGGTGCGTTTGTTATCCAAAGTTAGTAAACGCGGTACCTATCATATCCCATCTTGACTACAACTAAGCCTACAGTCAAAATGAAGAGAGGGTTTATTTTAATTTTGGTACAATTCTCAATTTATTTTCAAAGTGTGCCTTCGTTATATGCTTACTAAGTATGGCTAATATGACGTCACTCCGAAAATACTCCAAATGTACTTAGTCAAGCTCAAATTGTACCCATAAAATTACTGATAAAAATAAACTCAACTCAACTCAACTTTTGTATCACATTAAAAAATAAATTACTACACGGAAAAGTACATAAATTCACTATTTTTTGACATTTTATTTATACACGAGTCAAGTGTAAACAAGAATTATGCCTACGTGCCCAAATACACATGCTTTTATAAACATATAAACAAGTTTTGATAATATTTGTTAGTTGTCGCATTAACTAAATTTACACACGTTGCCCATTTGATTGGTTAAGTAAGTGACCCTTGACATGCTATGACTTTTTGATTACTATGTTAATTAATTTAATGCTCGAAATTTTATACTTTGCGCATGCAGTTTGAATAAAAAAGATAATATTTGGTTAAAAGGATATTTCTACTTACTCGTATTTCGATTCTTGTGGGAAATGATTAACCCGAGGATAAAAATTTCTAATTATTACCGAAAATAGGAAGAGAACAAAATTAGAAGCAAATATTCATGCGATTTGCCAATGGAGAATGAATTTTTGGCAGAAAACACATGAATGAATGACGAATGAACTTTAGAAAACTATTTCTTATAATTTTTGACTGCGGTGCACTAAGGCCCACCATACAACATACTAAATACTTTTCAGACGTTAAACTTACGCGTCTGGGTATGTCTAACCTGAACAGCAACAATTCCGAGTTGCTTGGTTATTTTTTTTTTTCACTAAAAAAAATATACAAAAATATGTTTAACTAATGCTCTGCATATCTTTATAACCTTACAGTTATCACACTAGAACCAGAGAATGTAAATGAGCGAATACATTAGAAATTAGTGAATTCCCTACTCTACCCCTATTTTTCAGCTCTGTTAGCCGTCCAATCGAGCATCACACAAAATTCAATTTGCACCTTCTCGTTCTTTTAAGTTCTTTAGTAGAATGTTATCGGTTGGACTCATTTTCAAATATGTGCAAGTTTTGACAAAATATTTTACCAAGTATTATAAATTATCAGCAAGACGAGCTGAGTCGATTTAGCCATTTCCGTCTGCCTGTCTGTATATACGCGAACTAGCACCTCAGTTTTTAAGACATCGATCTGAAGTTTTGCACACGTCCTTTGCTCCCCAAAAAGCTGCTCATTTGTCGGAACCGCTGATTTCGGCCCACTAAAGCATATGGCTGTCATACAAACTGTTCGACGAAAATCTGGATAAAGATCTCTTTGTACTCTTTTATGCTATCAGAAATGCCCCTGAGATAGGTATTTTTTTATATCCTTAGTACTCGGTATACTTGAAAGCATTATTGTCCTTTTTAGGGTTAAGCATTTCATCAACACATTAACGTCACATGTGATTTATTCGCGCCTTTGTATGCGTGCACAGGCGCAAAATTGTATAATGATTTCATAAAAATTCTTCGGGCTCTTGCTGTGTCCGTCGGTAGACTAACCTATCAGTTTGTGATTACATCGGCAAGAGTGAAAATGCTTATGGTGCGACGGACTTTTGCAAATCTATTCTATACCGACGACTATTATAAATCCCTACAACCGTTATTCTTTTTCACTCGCGCACTCGGCATCACATCGTACGTCGTGGTTAGCAATGAGCGAGGTTTCAAATCATTAGCAATCTCGCGATATTCAGTTGTTGTTGTACTTTTGACTTTGTCTTTTTTCTGTTACTGCTGTGTGTACATGGTCCACAGCAAGACTACATACATCGGGCACTTTCTCAACACGGATATCACAAATGGTGGCGAAAAGCTTATAATTTTGGCAAGCGGCATTGCGGCGGTGATCGTTTTAATAACGAATACTCTACGTAGACGACAGTTGCTGTGGGTTTTCGAGTATTTTCCGAAAATTGATAAGAATTTCGAACGCATCGGCATACGTTGGAATTATACGAAAGTGTTGCAAAATGTGATTTGGCGGCTCATTTTTATGGGTTTTATTTTCTCGATTACTTTGATAATTTATATAGGTTGTTGGATTCGTTTGCATGCGTTACCATCGTGGCAACTAATTTATATTACATTAGCTCAACTGATTGGTATATCTTTTACGGTTTTGCTATTCAATTCTTTAATGATGTCGACCAAGTTGAGAATTAAGGCATTAAATAAGGTGAGCAAATTTTATGTACGACGCATATTTTAGTTGTAAATCTCGCAGAGCATAATTCTTTAAATATATCATCACTTATAATAGCACGAACTTTTTTTGTTTTACATACCTTTAACCGCATAAACAACAATGAAGACACTAAAATGTTAACAAACCAAAATATTAAAAGCAAACGTTTTACGAGAGTTGAGCAGCAAGTAAGAAAAAATTTGAAAAATTTTTGGTCTCTGAGCTAAACTTTTTTGAGTTTATAATGTTTTCATTGATAAAAAGACATAGCAATTGCTAATTATGTATACTAACTGTTTCAAGGACCCTTGTCTTAGACTAGCAACATGAACATGGCCAAACTAATTTCAAGTTTTCATTTTTGAGGTTAGAAAAGAATTTTGTTATAAAAGAAGAGATCATACAGCCCGGAACCCACTTCGCTTTAAATTCTGTAACCTGACATAAATATTTTGTACTCAACAAAATTGTTTAAAAGCTTAGGAACTCTGGGATGTAACTGAGTTTCGAAAAATTGCGAATTTCTTATTTTTCTACCCTGAATTTACCCTGATTAAGTTTGCATCGATGTTTGTAACACCCAAAAGGAAATGTCAGAGACCCTATAAAGTATATTTTTAAATAATCCGGGTGACGAGCTGAGTCGATTTAATCATGTCCGTCTCTCTGTTCGTCCGTCTGTAGATATGCGAACTAGTCCCACAGTTTTTGAGATATCGATCTGAAGTTTTGCACCCGCACTTTTCTCACCAAGAAGCTCATTTGTCGGACTATTATAGCATATAGCTGCCATACAAACTGAACTATCGGAATAAAATGCTTGTATGGAAAGCTTTTTCATCTTCATGAAATTTGGCATGGGTTATTGTCTAAAGCAATAATGCAATCTCCGTAGAAATTGTTTAGATCGGATCACTGCAGCATATAGCTGCCATACAAACTGAATGATCGGAACCAAGTCCTTGTAAGGAAAAATTTTTCAATTGAGGGGATATCTTCACCAAATTCGGCATAGGTTATTGTCCAAGGCAATGGTGCAATTGTCCATCCACAGCTCGTTAACAACATCTAAATAAGCAAACAAACTGGAATTCTACTAAGTTAGTCTGATAGAAAACATCAAATTTTCATTTCGGCTAAAGCTTCTACATACTTATCTTTCTCCGCTACGAAGTGCTAAATTCAAAAGGCAACTGTTTTGGAACCTTGAACAAGGAAGGACCTATAGGAGAGATTTGAGCACTGTTAATAGAGTAGTCTAATTGAGCAGTCTACGTAGTTACAATATATATACATACATATGTATGTATGTACAACTATAATCGCAATCACAATCCCCTTGCGCCATAATTCTAACGTGCCAGCTATGATTACTTAACAAACATATCTCATGGCTGCCGGTAATGAATTACCAGTGCACAAATAGAAACATAGTTTTTGTATTGGCATATTCTAGTCGACATTCAACAGGCAGTCGATAACTCAAACAAACAGTCGCGTGCGAGACGCGTGCTAGATAGTAACATTTGCGCAGAACAAAAAAAAAAGTTAAAAATTTAAATAAAAAATGAAAAAAATTGTCAATCGAAGTTACGAAACAACGATCGAACTCGCCAACACGCTCCAACAGCCAGCGGCGGCATCTCGAATTCAGCGCATACGTCAGTACTTCATTTCGCAAGAAGTTTTCGCCACACTTCAGCCACTCTTCCTGTTCACCTACATCTATGGTCTGACACCGTTTCGTATTGTAAAGCGTCGCAACGGTACTAGCGAGATACGCGCATCCTGCTTCGGCTTTTGCAACACGGCCGCCTATGTGACACTTTATGGCATTTGCTTTTTGAATTCGCTGTTGTATGCCGAATCTGTTGTGGGTTACTTCTTACGCACGAACATCTCCATTGTGGGTGACACACTGCAGATATGTAACGGTATTGTCACCGGTATTGTCATTTATACGACGGCGTTGACCCAGCGTTGTAAGATGCGTCGCATAATTGAGGTGTTGAACGAGTTGGATTTGAATTTTGCAAATATTGGTGTGCGTGTGAAGTACTCGCGTATTTACCGTTATGCATTAGTACTGATCGTTGCAAAAATACTGATTATTGCGATCTATTGTGCCGGTGTTTATTTGCTTTTACGTTCGGCGCATGTAAATCCGTCGATATGTGTGTGCATCGCATTCGTTTTGCAACATTCGGTGTTGTTCTTGGCAATTTGCCTCTTCTGTTTTATAGCGCGTGGCTTTGAGCGACGTCTGGTCATACTCAATAAGGTAGGAAAGGTAGGAAGGAAATAGTGTGTGCGTAAGTATTTTAATTATATAGTGAAATTATTTAAGCGAGATCTGAACGGAAAACTTTACGCCAACATCCTACTTAAAGCCAGCCATAAGTGCAAGTAGGCTTGCACCTTTACAGGTAACCTCTTCGTGACAAGTGACCTTCTCCTTTTATACAAAGGAGTCTAAAATCTCTAAATAACTGTAACTGCTTCAAGCCCTAATATAATCTGTATAACCTCACCTGGCGCAATATAATCTGATAAACTTGTATCTTGCGTAATTTACCCAAACGATTCCAAAGAAGAATTATATTAGACGTCATTTTTAAATTCTCTGTTTGGAAATTACTTACAGCAGATTGTCTCTTCAATTGACCGAGCACGACTAGTTAAAGACTCGCTTCAATAGAGGTTTGACTCTCTCCCTCTCACTTACAGCAATTAATTGTGTAATGACTATCTGTAACAAAGAGACTGTAGAGGGCCTTAAAAACTTGAAATTATTGGAAGGTTTTTTTTAAATGCAAGACATTCACATTGCTTTATAATTATTTTAAGACTTTGAAATATCTGGTCTTAATTTCCCTCTAGCAACTGTTCACTGTGGCTATTCTTCTCAAGAATAGAATTGGTCCTTGTAATTTAGACCTTACTTTACTAAATGTAAGGCTCTTCTTCTCTTTAAATTTGGTTTTATTTTATACTTGCTTCCGAGAAGAAATTTAGTAATCTAAACTTAATACTTCTACATAATTGAGATTGAGGGTTTTTGAAACTTAAAAAAAAAATAATAATAATAATAATATGTCTACTCATTGTCGAGGTCTTGAGAAGGACTTTTGAAGTAACTTAGTATGCTTCTCATCTTATCTATTCTCTCAATTACTTTTCAGCCCTTCAATTCAAAAGTAGTTACCGTTATTGAAGCGAAATATCAACTAAATTATGACCAGTGAATGAATTGTAATAAATATTAGCAATGAAATTGTTAAAATATGCTTATAGTACTTAAATTATCGCATTACAGAATAATTAATTCCATTTCGCTAGGTCAAAATTACATTAATGTATTTTTAATTAAGCGAAATACCCACACCAGTCTATTTTACATGAGCCATGTGATAGTTTATTGTGATATTTATAGAAGAATATCTATGTATATTAGGGTGGGCTAAAAATAAATTTAGTTCTTTTCCTTAGATACCTTGGAAATATCGTCCGAAATTACGATACAAAAATTCTGGTAAAGTTTGAGTTTTAAAAATATTAATGGTATTAGGTGGCGGTTTTCGATTTCCTATATGCAAAAACGGGAATATATTCTTATTTTGTTCGGACGTTTAATGCATTTGAAGAAATTATTGCATGCTGATAATGAAATGAACATATTCTATATATATATATATATATATATATTAAGTCCAATATGATTTTTTGTTAAGTCGACTCACTTGAAAATTATTCTAGATCAATCGAACCTTAAGCCGTAAAAGATAAATTTTTTAATTTATAACATTATTTCATATTATGTCTCAAAATCATATAATACCAATTTTTTATGATTTATTGTTTCATACGATGAATTCACATAAATTCTGTTTTTCATTTAGCACGATTGAAAAAAGCGGTAAAAAGACATTTTATAAGAACATAGTTAGAAGTATTAAAAAGATTAAAAATTATCATTATTTTTATTTATTTACTTTAAAAAATTAAAAGTTTCTTTTTGGCCCCACCCTATATATATGTATGTATAATACAATTACAAACAACAAATCATTAGTATACTAAGAACAAAAGCTTGTTTGAGCAGAATGTTCATTAAATATTTACCAGTCAGACTAGACGGACAGACAGACAGGCAGCTCGAGACAAACAAACATGTTATTCATTTCATTTATCGTATATAGCAGAGTACCTAAGTGGAGAAAGAGAAAGTGTTCTGTGGGGAAAAAGGAGAATGTTTCATCAATTAACAAAGGCCAGTCAGTAATATATTATTATTTAATGATTGCTCTGCGCTAACAGTGGCCTATGTTTACATAAATATGTATGTACTTATACCTTTACATATATACTATACATACATATACATTAAGACCAGAAAGTTTCCGGAAATTATAAATAAAATGTAAAATTTTTAATCTCCATCAATATTTATTTAATACTTTGAAAGATATGCTCCTTCTAAAGCGATACAGATATGCCACCTCTTTTTTCAATAAACGAAACCTGCCTCGTAGGCGCTGTCCGGGATCGCCTTTAGTTCCCTCTGCGAATTTTCTTTTACGGCCTCAATTGAGTCGAAACGGGTTCCACGGAGTGGTGACTTAAGTTTTGGAAACAAAAAAAAGTTGCATGGGGCCAAATCCGGTGAATACGATGGTTGATTGATGGTATTGAACGAATTTTTGGTCTTAAAATCGTTCACAACTAGGGTCAAACTATCAGTCAAAATCAAAAGAGGTACTTCACGGCCGATGTTTAGCTTACGTGCTATCTCGCACGTAATACTTGCATGACGATTTTCGAGCAGGATTTCCTTCACTTTTTTGATGGTATTGTCAGCGGTAGACGTCGAAGGACGACCGGAACGAGGCATGTCTTCGAGGTCGAACTAAGGTCGACTGATTTCAGCAGCTGCTGGAAACAAACTGGTTGACAGATTGCGCTCATATTTGGCATAGTAATTAAGGACAGTGCTACCAACTTTAAAAAAAAGAACTGCTGAAAATTTTCCGGGAACTATCTGGTCTTAATGTATTGAAAAAATGTACCGAAGGAAAGTACTTAATTGAAATGTGTTTAGGAATTAAATTAATTTCAAAAAAACCTCATAAAAGCCATATGCAAATTACTCGCATGCGCTTTTATGTGCTATACGCAGCTGCGTACATATTATACAAGTATATATACTAATGTTACCTCGATGTGCAATTAAAAGAGCAACAAGTCAATATTTAATTCCTTAGACGCTTGTCGATGCTTTTCATACTTACGTATGTACATAATTGGTTTACAGGGATATTCATTTTGGACTTCTTCGTCAATGAAATGGGTTAGAAACTGATTTAGCTGCGATTGAATGGAAAAAGATACAATTTACAAGCATGCAAAAAAATGGGATTTCATGATCTAGCGATAGTATTAACCATGTAGTCCATTTTCTCTAGGAAACTAGTTGCCGTAATGTATACTCATTATACTTTGCAAACCAAAAACAATTCAATAATTTCGGTTAAGAATCAAGAAGCAAACGTAACTTAATGGAATATAACATTATACCATACAAGTACAAGCATATTTCAACTATTCTGTAAGTGTAGGAGAGAATTTTTCTGCTAATATGGGTAGCACACCTAAGCTTCGAAAACTACCAAACGGTTAACCCACTATATGCCAAGTGGGCGATTAGACGCTGGTGGGTGTGCTTACAATCAAAAAAAAAAAAACCAAAAAAAGTGACAACAACAGGTGGGTCAGTGACAGGAATCGACATCGATGACGGCACCTAAGTACAAGTGCAGATAAATATGGTAATATTGTGTGAGGCGGCGCAGCGCAAGCTCCCGCCACTAATTTGCATATGAAAACGGTAACATTATTAGAAAAAGTAGTAAAAGGATATACAATTCATTAGAAATGGAGAAAACTGAGACCAATACTGATGGTCAAATACAAACACTACATTGCAAACGGCAATGCAAGCGTGCGCTCGCGCCTAGGCGTATTGAGCGCCAACTTAGGTTAAAAAGTCACAACAACACGCCAACTTTCGGCCAGTTAACGCGGTGCAGTCAACGCGAATGGACGGTGATACGAATAGTATAGAGGCACAGGAAGTGCGTGCCACACGACCACAGCGTGTTAGCGGTTTACGTCGGTTCTTTCAAGCGCAACAGCTATACGAAAGCCTACAGCCGATATTCGTGATCACTTTTTGGCACGGCCTTACGCCGTTTTTCATCAAAAGTGACGGTGCCGGCAATAAGAAATTGAAGGAATCCATTTTCGGTTATATCAATATGTTTCTGCACATCACCATCTATGTAGCATGTTATGTGTTAACTCTGATAAATAATTTCGAAACGGTTGCGGGCTACTTCTTTAACACCGGGGTCTCACGTTTCGGTGATACATTGCAAATTTTGAGCGGTTTGATCGGTATTACGATCATATATTTTACAGCTATGCTACCGAAGCATCGTCTAGAGTACAGTTTACGCACAATACAGGATATTGATCTCATGTTGCATAATGTTGGTGTAAAGATAATCTACACCAAATTGTTGCATTACTGTTATTTCAGTATATTGATAGTTTTTGCCGTTGACACAGCGTATTCGTGTGGTAATTTTTTTCTCTTGAAATCGGCTAATTTAGAGCCGTCAACGCCACTTTACATCGTGTTTACGTTGCAACACACGGTTATCTCTATTGCTACAGCGATGTATCAGGGATTTGTGAAGATGCTGGAAATGCGGCTGATAATGTTGAATAAGGTGAGAGGGGTTGCTGTGGGCACGAGAAGATATCAAAAACCGTGCAACCGTTTTTTTAATATTATGAAAACACAGGGCGGTACGAAATTATTAAAATCGGTTTAGAAATATGCTAAACAGTGCGCAGTCGATATAAAAAACTTAAATATTGCCTACACTTAGGCGAACTATTCAATAGGAAAGTTTGGCAGAAGATCTAACGCAGGCACACACCTATAATATATGTATGTTCTTAAAAAGAAGCATTGTTGTTCTGGAACTCCATGCTATTTCAAGACTTCTAAACTGGAATGTATTAAGCCTAATAAAGAATTTCTAAAGACTATACAAAATGCGACAAAAAGAAAATGCGCCTTTCCGTTGCGCTTCCGAGAATGCTGAGTCAATTTTCTTTAGATTATATAGAAACGTTGCGTGCTAGGCTGATTTTTTATAAATTACTTGATAAATCCAAATTAAAATGTGAGTTAATTTTTATAAATTCTCATAA